GTGCTCATCATTCAGTGATAACGCCGCGTTCGCGTCATGCACCTCGGTTATCACACCACCCTTTTAGTGTGAAATAAATCTTTCTCAATATTGACTTGTACTGTTAAAGTGTAAAGACTTTGTGATTTTGTTACATCAGCCTGTAACGGTAAGTTTTGAATATTATAAATAAACTATTGTAGAAAAATGTTTGATGGTCATATTACAAAAATGGATAAATTTACATAACATTACAGTAATGTAAATAAAATTACAGATACAGTATTACGTTTTGTATTCTTTTGGCCCACGCTTAAATTGAAGTTGTATTTTTCCACATTATTTTTTGTAACATGAAAATATTCACATCTTGAGAACGAAAGGAAATAATGTTGATTAAATAAAACTCTCAATCTTTTTGTATTTCCTACATTAAGTAAATGGTGTATGACTTTATTTGTTTTTAATGTTTATTTATTTTTGTTTAATTTATGTAACGTAATAAATAAATCTATTCGTATCACGTCGCAGGTGGATTAATTCTAAGTCATTCATATGCAAACCCGTAACGGTATTTATGTATGTAGCTTATGATCAATTTGAAATTTTCTCAGATGATTATTTGATATTTATCATCCGTATTTTCTTAAACTTGATGTCTTGATTTAAAAAGCGAAGGAAAGCTCATAAATGTTATTTATTTTCCGATATACCGATACCTTATTTACTTTCGTCTTTCGATACGAAGGATGTTGACATAAATATCATTTAAGGAATGTCAAATAAGATAATTCAGAGGTGACTCAATCTGCGCAGTGCTATTTTCTTTACGATGGGTAACCTTATTTATTACGGGTCTTGTAGGTACTTGAAGAACGTACTAGCTGAGATCTAAATTGAAATTAAAAGCAGAAACCAAATGAATGCAAATTCGTAAATTATAAGAGGACTTCAGTTTTAGAATCAATGTGTAACCGATTAGAGAATTCATCACATTTAATAATTGCTGTCAGTTAGTAAGTAGATCGATTTTTAAAAAAGTTTTTAAAATAGTTTCTGATGCGACGCGACGCTCAGTTCTACGAAATTTTTGTCTTAGAACACATTATTGAATTTAAAACGAGAACTTTAGAGAAGTCAACTCGAAGTACTTCGGATTAAAAAGTAACTTTGGAAAACTCTGGTTCAGTTGTAATCGAAGAGAAAGTCACTGTTTTTGAAAAAGTACTATGACAAATAATAATTCGCTGCATTGAATTCTGAAGTGAACAGAATTCGTTGGATTGGAATTTTAAGTATACTAGAAAACGGATATAAAATGTAAGCTATATACTGCAGCTGTAAGCTGTACTGGAGTAATATACTGACAATATTAGGCTTTGCTTATCGAATCTTCTTGTATCTCGCATTCCAAAAAGACCTTTGGATTTGTCGTTAATAATGTGTAGATACTGCGAGGGCTCTACAAGTATTGTTGATCAGATTTTGAACGTTTCACATAACTTTTGGCTTTAAATTTAATTATAATTTTGATTTGTAATATTTTTCCTATTGGTTTAAAAATCAATCTCAGCATCTAACTAAGTCTGATGTCTCATCAAGCCGATTTGGCGTTACAATGACCTTTTTAGGACATAATAATAATAATGTTACGTAGTATTGCAATTACAACATAGTTAGAATTGAGTTCAAGAAAAAACAGTTTTATAATGTAAACCTAACAAATCTTCTAGACAAATACACTGTAATGTAGTGACCTTGTTCGAGCTAAAGCACTTTGTGGAAATTCACAAGCCGAGCGCAACGTAATGAAAGCTTGTAAAGTTCGCCAGACCGTACAACTGCAGCTACTTAGCGTGATGATGTACCTTTATGTATGAACATACGTTATTATTGATAGACACGAAGACTTATCATGAATTTAATTATAGTAAAAATAGCATTTTAGTACTATTATTTATTACACACAATACTTATCTAATTGCAGTTGCTTTGCCTACATTTAATTGACGGAGGAGGGGACGCACAGATAGAGGATGTTCTTTGTTGGTGGAAAAGGGGAAAGGATCAAAATTAGGCCCGGACACGCACATCCATTAGATGAAACGCAGAATTGTATGCACTTGACTTATGTTTCTTGTATGATCTTGGTATTTCTCTGGTAAAGCCCATTCTTGAAGAATTTTACTGTTTGTACTGTCACGGTTCGTCTGTAATGTTGATAATCTAAATATTTCGTGTCTATTTCGTACAGACATTGGCATTCTACTATTGGGTTTTATTTAATTTTAAGTACATTTCCTAATACATGTCAACTTTTTCATTCTAATGAGAAAATTTAGTAAAGTTGCGCCATCATTAAATATTCTTCAGACGGCGATAAATCGAAGCATTTACAACGGCGTCGACTAAGAGCTTTGTCATAATAATTGTTATTTATTAGGCTAATCAATCATTTTACGTTCGCTAATTGTTGATAACCAAACATGTACAATAAGACAGATCATTATGATGTCCGTCTGACAATATTTGTTTATAGATGAGATTTGTTTATACAATTTCAAGTAAAACTATGATATGGGTTTTTGAAGGCTCTTTTTGATACAGCTACAGGCAATACCAGGACTATACAGAAGACAGGCGTAAAGTGGAAGTAATAGGGAATTCACAGTACAGAATAGGAAGGAAAGGATAGGAAGTGAAAGGAAACGACAGGAAGTGTATGTGGATTTAACAGAGAAGGGGATGCCTAGGAAGGATAAATATCCTCCGTCTATTTAAGGTAGCAGCGCATGTGCAATTGCGGATTTTATAGGCGACGATCGCTTCGCTATTTCGGCGGATTCTTGTGACCGATTGCTCGTTTGACAAAGATAAGCAACAGATTAAACCTTGCCGTTCAGTATATGCAACTTTAATAGGAACAACATGAATTGTATGTGTTGTAATTAAACTGTTTTTGATACACTCACGTGTGAATTTTAAGTAGCATTTGTTTGATGCCGTTTATAATAGTGACGACTATAATAAAAATAATTTGTAGGGAAATATTTCGAAAATGTGTACCATAACTTATTTAAGTATATATTTAAATCTCTAATGTAAACATAAGTCGCTTTGCAGCAACCAACCTTGATGACTCCCTGAGGCGCCGCAGCCCGGGCTACTTTGATAATATTATCGAATTATAACCCTCAGCCTGAGGTCCACTTAGGTTCCCGTCTTATATTAAAGTAACAAGGCTTAAGTGACCCCAAGAGTAAAACTAGGTTTGTGTCGATTACCTTATAAACTTGTTATAAACTATGTTAATAACTCTTGTTAACTGTTATAATCGTATTGTAGAATTTAGGCTGCGAAGCAAATCTTAACTAAAAATTTTAACTATCCAAATAAATGAAGCTATAGTGTCGCCAAATAATCTCTTTAGTATTATAAATGCAATGTTGGGATGGATGGATGGATGTTTCTTCGAAGGTATCTCCGGAACGGCTTAATGGATCTCGCTGTAATTTGGCACAGATGTAGAACATAGTCTGGAAGAACACATAGGCTACTTGTTATGTTTTTTCTAATTCCACACGGACAGAGTTGAGACTATTTTAGCTATATACAGTAATATAGTTTTAGTTAGCTTTTACAATACAAAAACCCTCATGTGGCGGAATGTAGAATGCAATCAAAAAGGAAACGACCTTTACAATACGATCAATTATACAATAAAAAAGATCTGCTCATATAAGAGTTGTTTGAATAATAAAACACGGTTTTCCCTTCCAAAAATATACATAAGCCTGATAAATTATTCATGCGCATCACCTTTTTATCTTTCAATGGAATTTATCAAAATGCTGTGTTTGTTCCATTTTGCCCATTAGCACAAAAAGCGTTTGGGAAAATTTTACATAGAGTTTTTAGATAATTTTATTTTCTAGAGATATTTAAGTTCTTTATTAAAATTCGTAGTCGTTTCAGCAGTAACTTTTCAGGAATATCTTTCAATAATACGAATTCGAGGAATTGTTATGAATTGGTAGTATTATAACGAATTTAAAATTAATTACATATGTAGCAGTTCTATATACTGCTATACTCATTAAATACAAGGAAATTATATAATAATAATAAACATTATTTTATGTGAAATTCACCAAATTAAATATAATGAAAATACTCTAGTATGGTTTACTGAATTTTGTTAGAATTGAAAATATTCTTTTAAAATAATTCAGTAAAAATCTTATTAAAATTTAATGTTCAACTAACTTTAATTATAAGAAACGACATAAAAGGACAATCTTTTCTGCATTACTAAAATTTATAGTTAAGTAGGAAACTAAAGAAGGAATTCTCTCCGTGGAAGCCAAAGTTAATTCAGAGTTTCGAGCTGCCGAGAACTTGAATCTAATTGATAAATTTTACTCAGTCGGAACTATGCTCCGAGCCACAGAAATAATAGAACAAAATTAAACGGCTATATTTTTTTAATCAAGTCGGGTATCGTGCTTACGAGGAATGGGAAAGAATAGTATACCCTGTCTTTGCAATTTACCTAAATTGCTCAATTTACTTCAATCGATTTATTTCATAAACCGAAAGTCAGGCGAACAGAAATAAATCTATTTATATAACTAAATGTAACGTTCTATGAAATTGTAATGAAATCAAAGATTTAATAATAATAACGTATGCAACGTCGCCGTCAGATTTATATCGATTTCGTCAGTTTATAACTTGACTAGCCATTGCACGATTTTCGGTGACGAAAGCTATATAACGAAATTTAATTATTCGGTCGGAAAATGTGAATCAAGAGAATTTAGTAGCCGGCCGTTGCGCGGTGTTTTAGTGATTAAGAACTCAAATCTTTGTAGAAAAACATGATATATCTCTTTTTTTACAGATTATCGAAAAGTTGTGCAATAAACTCGACGCGCTATGTGCGCGTCTTATTGACATTAGCAAATTGCGTGTAGTTTCGTGTTAGTTGTGTGTCAAATGTGTGTGGTGTAAACGTCGCCATGAGTTTCCTGTCATCAATCGGTCAATACGTGGTCGGCATGGCCGACAGCGTGGCCGGGCTGGCGTTGTCGCCACGCCGCGCGCCACCGCCCCGTCATCGCTCCGAGGACACGCAGCAGAAGCCGCAACCATCCACCGCTACTATGCGAGGTAAAGCCAACTACACGTGTACATGATGCTCTAGTCCAGTGATGTCATAGCAGCTTGCGCCGCATTATAACATCGATAACTTAAATGTTTTGCTTTGGTACTTTCTATGGAAATTTATGAAACCATTTGGATAGGTGGGACTTGAATGTGTTCGTGTCATGTTGTATGTTATACACGTACATTGCTGGCGTTTGTTTCATAGCTCAGAGATATCTTCAAGAAGCGAGAAAACATCCTCGCGCGTTAGTGTTTTATGAATTGTCTTTAATTTAGATGTACAGTCAGCGTCATATAGATCGTAACAGACAAGATATGCAAATATATAGGTACATCAAAAGTAATCAATTATATCGGTACAACAAAAGTCCTCAAAATAATAGATACATTCACCCTGCTCA